ATATAACCTTCCAATATATCAATCTTTACCTCTCAACCATTTCGAGACTCCTCGTCATGTCCGTGATCTCATCCGAGACTCCGAACAATCTTCGGTCATCAAATCACATAACTCATAATACCAATCGTCATTGAACGTTAAGCGTGCGGATCCTATGGGTTCGAGAACTATGTAGACATGACCGAGACACATCTCCGGTCAATAACCAATAGCGGAACCCGGATGCTCATATTGGCTCCTACATATTCTACAAAGATCTTTATCGGTCAAACCGCATAACAACATACGTTGTTCCCTTTGTCATCGATATGTTACTTGCCCGAGATTCAATCGTCGGTATCATCATACCTAGTTCAATGTCGTTACCGTCAAGTCTCTTTACTCGTTCCATAATGCATCATCCCCCAACTAACTCATTAGTCACATTGCTTGCAAGGCTTATATTGATGTACATTACCGAGAGGGCCTAGAGATACCTCTCCGTTACTCGGAGTGACAAATCCTAATCTCGATCTATGCCAACTCAACAAACACCTTCGGAGACACCTGTAGACCATCTTTATAATCATCCAGTTACGTTGTGACGTTTGATAGCACACAAGGTGTTCCTCCGGTATTTGGGAGTTGCATAATCTCATAGTCAAAGGAACATGTATAAGTCATGAAGAAAGCAATAGCAATACACTAAACGATCATAGTGCTAAGCTAACGAATGGGTCTTGTCCATCACATCATTCTCTAATGATGTGATCCCGTTCATCAAATTACAACTCATGTCTATGGTCAGGAAACATAACCATCTTGATAAACGTGCTAGTCAAGTAGAGGCATACTAGGGACACTATGTTTTGTCTATGTATTCACACATGTACTAAGTTTCCTGTTAATACAGTTCTAGCATGAATAATAAACATTTATCATGATATAAGGAAATATAAATAACAACTTTATTATTGCCTCTAGGGCATATTTCCTTCAAATGGGTGGATTCGGAGATGGCTAGGGGGCTCTATGCAAAATATCCACAGCGGCGCCTCCGTGGTTCGCCACTTGGCATGGACGAGCGGTCAACAGGTGGTCAAGCATGCTGTACCCACCGCGTACAGTGATTGTATTTTCATGTCAAATCATATTCGATGACTCTATTGAGCGTATTTCAGAGTTTAGTGACCGTATCGTGCTTCCGTCGCAACTATTGTGACAATGAGTGTATTTATCTCACCAACAAACTCATAGACTGCTCGTTCTTGCCGACCGTAGCTGCTGCTGCTCTCCCTCCATGCCGACGGGCGACGGCTGCTGCTGCTCTCGTATCCACCACCGCCTGCCGCCGTCTCTATGGGATTCACAAAGGAGTCCAGGCAGGCTGCCAGGGCCACCAACTTTGAGTTCCCGTGGCCAGGAGGAACACGGACAAGGCCCTCTTCTGCCTCCCTGCCATGGCCGCTGGAGGCCACGCCGCACATGCCGCCCTTCGCAATAGCCGCTCGTCGCCCTCTGCTCCGCCATCGACAACAGAAACATCGGCCTCGTCCTCCGCTAATACCGCCCTCTCAGCCTCGTGCCGCCGCCGCTATGCGCCTGGTGTCGCCTTCGTCGAAGAGTTTGGGCATGTGATGGGGAATCGGAGAGAGAAGGTGCGTGGGGTACAGGAGAGAAGTTTTCGCTCAGAGCGTTTTCTTTTCTTTTTTTACAACTGAGCTAAAGCAAGGGTAAAAACGACTTTCCAAGTTGCACTTCACGGTGTCAATGGTTAACACAGACAGAAGTGTCATGAAAGAAATAAAATAAAATTGAGTGTCAAAAAGGTAAGAAAAATATTTTTAGGATCAAAACAGGAATTATATTTTAAGAAAGGGCCGAAATTCTCTCTAGAACAGGTGGGCATGCATGATTTTTCAGTTAGGCTCCACTAACCAATGACATACGCATGCAGCCATGCAAAGGCAAATGTCAACCGCAACGAATGTCTAGCTGAAATTAGCATCGTCAACGGAGCATATATTTTTAGCTTATATGTTCATGACAGTGCCGTACGTGTTACTTTTTATTCTTATATATATGAATTACTACTCACGTGACATCATTTTGGCCAGAGCCACTACTTATGGAATATTGCTTCATCACTTCTTTACGCTAAACACCAAACTTCTAGACAACCCCTAAGAACTCTTTGATGGTTCAAGCTGCTTCATAACGGCCTCCCAGCCGGCATGTGTGGGATGAGTATCGTCCCAGAAGAAACGTTTGCTTGGGTCCTTGCACAGATAGAAAAGATAGTCCGTGTGAGGATGCTGCTCTCCACAGTAGACCCTAGGACCATAGCCCTCGCAGCACGGCTTCCGCCCCGCCTCAAACTGCTTGTACGACTTCGAACCTTCATGTACAGATTAACCAAGTTACAGAGCAAACAATCAGAACAATATGTGCTGATCATAAAATGCTGACGCAAATGTACATACCATGGTCAGCGATGATGTTGTTGAAGGCGGTGTACATATCGACTATGAAGATACCTTTGTTCCTTGACAGCTTATGTTTCAGCTTTTTATTGTGCACGAGCGCAATGACATTGCCAAACTCGTCGCACTCGTGGTAGAGGGTCGGCCTGCACCAGAATGGAGTGCAGCCTAGAGGCTGCAGATTGTTCACCAGAATCTTCTTCACTCCAAGGTTTTGCAGCCGCTGGGTGATCGCAACGATCTCGGTCGTCTCTTTCTCGACGCAATCGGTCGCCTACATGAAAACTTGGTAAGCTACAGACAACATATACGGTTTGATCAATACGGAAACTTAACGTGTTGCGTTCTCCTGCTTAATTGGGAGTTGGGACTCACGGAGCTGAAGCCGCTGACGTTGAAGCGGTTGTAGTCGGTGCCAGAGACGGCGAGGAGTGCGACAGAGTGAGTTACGTGGTTATGCGAGATAGTTCCGGCTTTGATCATGCTCTCGAATACGTCGACCTGCTCGCTAACGCTCATCATCATCATCTCTCCGGGAAAGCGGAACATGCCGGCGCCATAAAAGGCAAAGTTCATGCCCGACGGGTCGCAGTGGAGATCTGGCGTGCTAAGGTATGTCGGAGGGGACTGGGGAAGACCCAGCATCTTCGCTGCAATGACAAAGTGAATGTTCATACTAAAAGTCCACATATAGATTGACTAACGCATGCATCTGATAGGTAGTGCATGCGATCAAGATTAGATATTAGTACGTAGTGTTAGAATCTGTGTATAGCTTGTGTATATTGTACCGTTGTACTCTGTTGTATTCCATCCGGGATTGTAGGATCTCACCTCGCCTGGCCTGCGTGCCTACAATGTAGGGCGACCGGTGCTCCACTTTCCCTTCATAAACCATGTACTCTGTAATCAGTGGTATCAATCAAGGAAATATAGTTTCCAATTTAATATCAGCTGCTTCGAGGTCTCCTTCGTGGCCGGCACCGACTCCTCCCCGTCCGCCGCCGCCATGGACTCTGTCACCTCGTCGGGCTCCCTCTCCTCCACGGCCCCCGCCGCCACCACTGCCTCGACCTCCTCCTCCACTACTTCCCCGTCGTCCGTCTTCGGCACAACACTTTCTCTCTTCAGCAGCACCTCCGCCCCTGCTGGATCCCACTTTGCACCCCTCTTCTCCTCCGCCCCTACGGCGCCGCCATCCTCTGCCCCCCGCCTCTCCATCTACCAAGATCACATCTCCAACCACATCAAGTTTCTTGTCAACCCTGCGGATCACAACTACCACAAATGAAAGTCCTTCTTCCTCATGGTCCTTATCCGCCACGGCGTCAAGTTCCTCATCGAGCATCCTCCTCCTCCCAACGCTGATGCCGCCTACCTCGAGCTCGATGCTCACGTCGTCCTCTGGATCTACGCCACGCTTTCCGACTCCATGGTGGATCACGTCGTCGGCGCCACCAACACCTATGCCCTCTGGCACAAGATTAAGGATTTCTTCCTCGCCAACCGTGCTGCCCGGTTCATGGTTCTCAACCGGCAGTATCACAACCTTAAGCAGGGTGATCTTCCCGTCGCTGAGTACCGCGGCGCATGAAACTCCTCACTGACGGCCTCGCCGACATCGAGCATGCTGTCACCGAGGTCGATCTTCACACCCAGTTCCTCCACGGCCTCGACAAGCGCCTCGACACCATCCGCGTCGTCCTCGGTGACCAGGAGCTGCCCTTCGACACCGTCCTCTCCCGGGTCATCCTGGCCGAGGAGTCCCAGGCGCAGCGCGCCGCTGAGGAGAGCGCTTCGGCGTTTGTGCTCCCCGGCGGTGACCGCGGCCAGAGCAGTGGCTCCGGCGATGGTGCTCGTGGCTCCGGCGGGGACCGCACCAACGACCGCGCCCAGGGCACTCTTCCCCAACAGCAGCCCGCCCCTGGTCGTGGACGCGGCGATCGCTCGTCTGATGGTGGTGACCGTGGCCGCGGATGTGGCCGCGGCCGTGGGCGTGGCCGGGGCGACCACTCGGGCCGCGGATCTGGACCCCAGCTCTAGTTTTCGCCATTCACCGGGTATTTTGCGCCCTACGGCATGGCGCTCCCCTCGCTCCGTCCTGGTTGGGTGCCCCCGAACGCCGCCGGCGTGCTTGGGCCGCGCCCTGGCTCCCATGCGCACGCCTACCCGATGTACCAGCCTGCACCGCCTCCGCCGTCCTACCCACCCCAGCCACCGTCATGGGAGCATCTTGCCATGCTTAACGCCGCCTACAGCAACTCTGGCTTCCCCAACACCTCTGGCAATGAGTGGTACCTTGACAACGGTGCCTCTTCCCATGTGACAGGAAATCAAGGTAACCTCGCCATGTCTAGTTCTTCTTTAAAGCATGTTCCTCGTAGCATTCTTGTTGGCAATGGGCACTCCCTCCCCGTCACCTCCACTGGTTCCACTACACTTCCTCCCTATGACTTTCGCCTCATTGATATTCTTGTCTCGCCAAATGTAGTTACCAGCCTTATTTCTGTGTGCAAATTTACCAAGGACAACTCTTGCTCAATTGAATTTTATCCGTGTGGTTTTCTTGTTTCTTGTGAAGGATCTTCGCACTCGGAGGGTTCTCATGATCTCCGCTAGCACCAGCGATCTCTACCCCTTCATCGGCAATAATCCAGCCCCGGCGGCCGCCTTCTTCATCACTTCCTCGGAGCTCTGGCACTGCCGTCTTGGACACCCCGGCGCACACACCATGTCTACATTGTCTCGCGACTTTCTTAGCTCATGTAATAAACAGCCGCACTCCTTGTGTAGTGCCTGTCAACTAGGGCGTCAACCTCGCCTCCCATTTCCTTCTTCTTCTAGCAAAACTTGTGCTCCGTTTGATTTAATTCATTGTGATTTGTGGACCTCCCCCGTTGTAAGTTTCTCTGGTTTTCAATATTATCTCATCGTGTTGGATGATTACACACATTATTCCTGGTCCTTCCCTATGCGCCAAAAGTCCGAGACATCGACCATTCTCCAACGTTTCTTTACGTTCATTCATACCCAATATCGCGTCATCATCAAAAGCATGCAATGCGACAACGGCGGCGAGTTTATTAACTCCTCCCTCCGTTCCTTCTTCTCCAACAATGGTATTGTGTATCGCTTCTCTTGCCCGCACACCTCCCCCCAAAATGGCAAAGCCGAATGCCTCATCCGGACTACGAACGACGTCATTCGCACACTCTTACTCCAAGCAAACCTCACTCCACCATTTTGGGTCGAGGCACTACACACCGCCACGTACTTACTCAACCGCCGTCCCTCTCGTGCCATTGCACCTCACACACCTTATTTTCTCCTCCACGGCGCACACCCCGACTATACGCATCTTCGTGTATTTGGTTGTTTGTGCTTCCCCAACCTATATGCCACAACAGACCATAAGCTTGCTCCACGGTCCACACGCTGCCTTTTCCTCGGCTATCCACTTGAGCACAAAGGCTACAGGTGCTACGACCTCGCTACGCGTCGCGTCATTGTGTCTTGCCACGTCACGTTCGACGAGCACATTTTTCCTTACACACCCCCACAGCCATGGCACACCACCCCCACGTCCACAGAAAATCCCCATGCAAAACCCCCTCCCACCCACCGGATCTCTTGGATCCTACGCCCCACCTACCTCGGACGCGCCCCACCCCCCGTCCTTTCCTGGCCGG